AAAAAAAAAAAAAAAAAAAAAAAAAGAAAAAGAAAAAAAACGAGTTGGAAATTTTAGTGATGTATATTATGAGAGCAAAACGATCAATTGAGGAATTGTAACTTTAATGACGTCATAAATATCGGCTAATCGGTGAATAATTTAAAAAAAACGTTCGGGTGAACAAAGAACATCGGTACAGATACTAAAAGGAAGCATTTGCGGTGAAAGTAACTTTACTCAATATTTGTTTGGTAACGCCACGGATGAAAAAGGTTGATCAGCAAGTGGTTCAGCTAGGGTTCTGTTAGACTGTTAGAAGTTCGCTATGAGGACACATTACTCAAGGTACTGACTACAGCATTTCGATCTTCATTAACTTTAGTGAAGGATGTTTACTTCCGAGGTTAGTGAAGGCAACACATTACTGAAATTAGTCACAAACTCCATTCATTAAGTTCTTCGCAAGTTTGAGGATACCAAAAGTTCAGTTGCAGTTTGGCTGGTCATCAAAGCTATTTTGAGATGTCCAATCTTAGTTTAGGAATGGATCAGTAATAGTAGAAGTGATTCAACATCAAAGTTTTCGACATAAATAGTTGTAGATTGAAAAAATCAAACGTGCGCTGGTCGCTTTTATATGATTGCGACAGACTTTTCTAATTCCACAATTCTTAATCACACCTCATTGATGCTTTTGTGAATGAATCGCAAATTATATCGGAGCACTGACACCCGTTTGACTCTAAAAAGCGTATTTTTTAAGAACAGGACGTAAATACCAGCAGAACTGAAGTACAAAATAAAAGAAAGAAAACAGGGTAAAAAGTAAGAAAAAAGTAAATACCAGAAAAAGAATTTGAAGTTCTTCACTGATTATGCGGATGTAATAAACGTATAGCCTATAAACGTCAAAAAAAAAAAAAATTTAAAATGATTGTATGTTTAAACTACGCAAACCTTTACATTTACATGTGTTAATATTGCCTTGAATTCCTTCTCATCTATCATCCTCTAAAACGAAAATATAAACAAGAAAAAGATGTCGTCTGATTGACACAAAAATTCGTCTAATACTCTTCATTGGTGCCACCGTACTTCCTGCTTTCTTCGTTGTCAGATGCCGTTATTTCTATTTATTCAAAAATCTCTCAGAATCACCAGTTTCTCTTGAGCAATGTTTGCCGTTTCTTACAAAAACTTTAATGACAGCTTGTTAATCAAACTTTCCAACAATGTAAAGTGATAAAAAAGCTAGCTTTATGATCAAAAAAGGAAAAAATTCAAATAGAACAAAAATTATGAACAGATTTCCGGGTTAAAATTATGAACAGATTTCCTAGTTACTGACTAAACCTTAACACTTAAGGCTGACCAATACTCCATTCAAGCAGCTACACTTATTGTTTGCTTTAAAAGAGCTTCATAGCTGCGCAATATTGGAACGTGGTGGCAAACGGTTGATTAACGAGAAATGAGCTGTCTATGGCTGCAGCTTATTTGAGTACATTCACTTACCTCTAAAAAGATCCACTTTCAAACACTATTTTCCTGCACTTATAGATCATCTTAAAGTATGCGTTGACCGTGAACATAAATTTAAGGCGTATATACCCAGCACAAATCACTAGCATACATTTACCTCCAGAAGAAACGATAACACTGTATATCTGCATGAATATAAGTTTGCTAACAATTTCAGGTTTCATACAAATGGCAAACAAAAACGTTGAGGCAAACTAACGTAGTAAACCAACCTTGTGAAAGTATAACTGGGACCTTTCCATGCAAGATATATACAGACTAATACAATAAAATTCCCGATAACGTTATGGCAATTTTTTCAATCTTGCAAACAAATTTACAAGGAGAAATAATTTTTAGCCGAACTGTTTCAAATACACATTAAAAATTTATTGACTTATTGTCCACATTT